GGGGGGGGCGAATAAGAAGAACTCCACAAGCAAGTAGTCGGCACGAGTTCGAACGATTGTAAGGGACAATCGAATTTGATTGATTGTAATGAACAATCAAGTTGAAAGAAAAAGATAATACGCAATTAATCAAAAGATGAATAATAGAGGGAAGCTAGAAAAAGAAACAAACAGGCACTAAGATAGCATCAGCGACGTTTATGTCGTCACAGGGGGTCCAAATTTCTACCCTATACACTTCAACACTCCTTTCAAATCGTGTTTCATAAAATGACAGGTAGATTTTCATAAGCACAGTAAAACTCCTATTGTATATGTGAATATATCGGACGCTCCTATTCTTAGAATAATACTGCTGTCAAAACCCTGAAAGTGTGTTGTATATGGATTCATGCAAATTAAAACAGGTCTTGTTATTCAAACGGTAAAATATGAATTTCGAAGGTCAGAGTGAAAACAGCTCATTAAATACAGTACTTTTATAGAAAATGAAAACGTCCAACGCCATGAATCCAATCTACTTGCTGGAGCACTTAGTGAGTGGATAAGCGATGAGTTCAGGTTTTTGGCTCCATGTTTCAACAAATATTATCTATTCCTTTTTCCAAAAACTAATAATAAAGAAAACCCGCTATATATTGTTCCAGAATTAGGAAGCTCAACTAGAGCCATATTTGACTTGATACTCGCTTATGTATTTGTAAAATCTTTCCAAACGAAATATTCATTATCACACTGAAAATGTACACCAATTTGCTCTAAAATGACGAATAACATACTATTTACAGTGCCTAATAAAACCTCGTTAAAATAACAATATTTCACAATAGAACTACTTCTATTCATCTGTCCTGTATCTCGTATACTTTCCATAATCCTCATATCTAGTACGTTTGATCGTTTGAGCGCTGTTTGATTTTGTCTACTGCTGTTTTAGAACTGTGTATTTATTGCAATCCAGGGCTCGAAGCACGTATTAACGAATGTCAACCTTGTTCAGATGTCCGTTTAAATAAACAGCAATTGACAGATGCAGATATCGAAATCATAGTTCAACAAGCGATCATCGGCAAACGATGCAAAAGCCTTTCATTAGCACTCAACGAGATCACATCAAAAGGTGCTTCGATTCTGGCCGATGCCTTGCGCAGTAATACAACACTGCATGAGCTGTGGTTGTCCACTAATCATGTATCTGACGCAGGTGTGGGTTATCTAGCACAAGCACTCTCGACTAATAGAACTCTCACGAAGCTGGGTCTTGCTTCGAACGACATTACAAGCGCAGGTGTGTCTCATCTAGTGGAAATAGTAAAGAAAAACAAAACATTAAATACAATCGGGTTAGCTATGAATCGAATCGATGACCAAGGAGTACAAATGTTAGCCAATGCACTCGCTCAACAAAATACAAATCTTGAAATACTAACTCTCGACAGAAATCAATCGGTGAGTGACTTCAGTATCAATGCTCTCATAAACATGATCAAAAACAATCGATCGTTGAAAGAACTTTGGATAAACGATTGTAGTCTGTCTGAAAAAGGTAAAAAGAAGCTTCAACAAGCGACTGAATCAAAGAAAGCCTTCAAACTAGTAACTACGTATGCAAAACCATCGTAATTCACATAAAAGCTTCTAACTACTTGAATAAAATGTCGAAGACAAATAAAGCACATCGCATGTAAATATTTTTTTACCTCAAAGCGCATCTAAACGCGTCTCCAGTGACACAAATGAAGAGTTTAGACGCGGTTGTTCGAAAAAGCGGAGACAGACGGATTTTGAAATAAAAACGCGTCTGAACGCTTCGAATGTTTCACTGGGGACGCGTTCCATACAATTTATGAAAAATGAAAAAAACTATATTTCAGTTCGTCTCATGTTTGATCTGAGCCACTATCGATATCCTCTACCACGTGGTCTTTACCTTACTGTAGGTCAACGAACTGTTTGCATATCGACATATCGATGAATCTGAAATGATAGAACTGAGATTAGAACATGTGAACCAATGATTAAGAGACATGTATACGTATCATGAAGCCATATATGAGCACAATCGTTGTCGGATGGCATGCAAAGTCTATGAGGGTTATGAATTCATATAAAATTTACAAATATAGTAATGATAGAATTTCTATCATAGAAATGTAGAAAAAATATATTTTTTACGAAATTATTAATGGTCAATATACATTTACATATTTGCTAGAAAACATATTTTCACAAAACTAACTCTTATTCAATATTTTTTTAATATCAAAAACTTCATTTGACAACCGTTTTCATTTAAGAGGGGATGTGCAACAATGTTTTTTATATAAAATCACCGGCAGCACAATCGGAGTGCCACATTTAATATCAGCTTACTTTATTTTATTAAATATATTCTCGTTGTTTTTTCTTAATATAACTATCAATGTAACTGAAATGAGAACTTTCAATAATGACTATATCAATTGTAAAAAGGATCTAGACTTATTCATGAAACTATTTAATAGTGATCATTTGAAGTCTTCAAAATAATATATAAAAAGATAAAGAACTTTGATAGCAAAGGTCAGCTAAGAAAAATCTAATATTTATTTTCTCAAATATAATCGTCATATTAGCAACCTTAAATAAGTTTCATTAATATGATTCAATCTTTCAATTTGAAAACCACCAAAATTTATGCATGTAAAATAACAATGATGTAATGTATAAAAGCTACAAATACCAAATAATATACAAATAGAACAGAACAGAAACTTGATAGATTTTCTTGTCACATTACTGTCGAACGTGACCAAATATACGTCTGATACTCTTACAAAGCTCTCTCACGAACATACAAGCAGTGTAAAATACAAGGGGTAAAGTGCTGGCTCCAAGCACCAAAATTTACTACAAAGTGCTGAAGGTGCTGAACAGGTACCGAAGGTGCTGAAAGGTGCTAAAGGTGTTAGTAGTTGTCGAAAAAGCTACAGAAAAATAAAGGAGTAGTATACGACAGGATCCCAAGCAGACAAACTTTTTCAAAAACGCGTTTAAACACTCAATCGGGAACCGCGATTGTGGGTCATTAACGCGCATTAATGAAACGCAAGAAACGCGTTTTTTACGCAAAATTCTCACTTTCC